GTACCCCTAATTTTCGGAAACTCAAAAATAATTTAGAAATGCTGTGCAGGCCGTTGGGCTGCAGGCTGTGTCAGCCCATGTATCGTCTGTGCTGGGCTTGCAGCCCGGATCGAGGTTGATGAGGTTGCATGCATCAAGGGTTAAGACCAGAGTAGAAACGACGTTTGCACTGCCTCCGCCCAACACAAGTCCTCTTCAGCTGGTCAAACGAGGTACTTCGACGGGGTCACCTAAACCCTTTGAACCTTCGCAAGCAGGGTCGCACCAATCTCTGCGGCTTGCGGCCGAGTTATTCCCCTGTGCTGTGTCATCGGAAGCTGTGCAGCATGGGCCTGCAACTTCGTTGGCCGCCGGCAGCTGCTGTGCAGCCAGGGAAACCTCAGAGAGTTGCAGATTTAGGGCTCAGGGTTTATTTAGGGCAAGCTGAGGGCACCCCTCCGCCCTTAACCACAAAACCTGCGCTTGAACCCTAGACACAGCTTGAGCGCATGCGTTGCCGACCGCTTCGTCAGCGCTTCAATGCCCATCTTTGCAGCTTCTGGCATACATCTCCTCTGCCGCGCCTCGTTCTGCAGCTGCCACATACACCGGTTCCGTGGACGCAGAAACTCTGGATCGAGAAACAGAGGCAGATCGGCAAGCTTTCGCAAGCGATACTTGTACAGTGACCCTCTTGCCCATTTGCAAGACCAACTTCCACTACAGCTTTTCGCTCTCGCGTGGCTAGGAGGTAAAAAGTTGCAGTAGAAGTTTGGCTGCAATGGCATAAGAGTCATCATGCAAGTAAGCCACATACTTGCTTGGGTTGGTCTGGGTTTGGTTTGAGCACGCGGCCACAACTGATGGTGCATGTGCAGGATTGCTGTAGCTTGTGTCATCTGCTTTTGCCCAGCATTCATGGGCACTCACCCATCGGACAGACCAAGCCCCAATTAAGCACTCTTCGACATGTCCCCAAAACTGAAACCAAGACCAAGTCAGCAAAACCCGAAGCATCTTGCAGCAGCCCTCGTTGTCCAGCCCCTAAACCCTTTGTTGAACCCAGGCTCTGATCCTATTGAGCTGGGAAGTCGGCCACCTGAGCCCCTAAACCGTGAAGCCTAAAGCCCCTAAACCTTGAACCCGTGTCAGCGCACAGAGGTCTTCCGGTATCATCTGAGCCATGCGCCAGCCGACAAGCAAGCAGAAGGGCCTTGGCGAACCGACATCCTCACAACTCAAAACCTGAACCTATTCTGTAGTATAACACGTGGACAATATATAGTGATATTCACATACCGTATCATAATATGCCTTAAACCCCTGAATCCAAGCAGGAAGTTGCGGTCCTTGATTACATTGACTACACGGTCACGTGCAGGAAGAGATTCCGAGGTTTCCTGAAGGAGATATGCAGCCGGAGGCCAGCGGGCCTCACATTTTTTACCATGCCTGCCCAGGAAGCCCAGAAGAGAAGCTCAACATGCTGTCAGATTGAAAAAGACTTACCTGCTGCTCAGAGTGAAGCCTTTTTGCACAGACTTGTCTATGTCAGAGTGAACCCTAAACCCTAAACTCTGAAGGCTCAGGGATGCTCGGGGCTTAGGCCTTGGTTCGAATCTGGAGCCTCAAGAGTTGCATAGTGTTCTCATCCGGTGCAGGGTTCAGATTGACACTTCCCGGACCATGGTGTGTTGCTTGTCGCCGCCATGCAGCAATCCGCCATGATCCGTCATGCCTTGACTATTTTAGCGATATCTGTTGCAACCGTCGCAACAGCAAGACCGGAACCTTGCACCGCAGCCATGTTTCTTCGGGCGCGGTCGTCGCGTCGTCTTTCGAAAAACCTCGCTGGCTCTCTTGCGGCCTCGGAGGGTTCTCGAGAAGGGCAACTGTGTTTCGGACTTAGTAACTAGATACGAATGAAAAAAACGGAGACTAGCACGGAAGCCCTTGCGATGCACGGCTCTACCTTTGGAGCCTGAAGCCAGCGCGCGCCAGCATGAATTAAATGTTCAGTTTCAGGCTCGCACTGAATGTTTCGTGTCGGGTCTGTAGCACTTCATTAGGGCCCCAAAAAAGCACATAAGCAAAAATAAGGTTAGGGATATCCCATATAAACCCCCTTATAGTGAAGCCCAATAAGGTGAGATATCCCTATAAAATGCTTATGCTTATGTGATTTTTGGGTCCCTAATTCAATCCTGAAGAAGTGTCAACGTAAACCGATGGGACTATCAGGATGTTCATACGTCCGAGGACGCTTTGCAGCCCACTACTCACTCTCCGCGAACTCCCGCGAAGACAAGCAGAAACACGGAAGAGCTCAGGCCACTAAACTTACGTTTGGTTAGTAGGGAATGGAGGAATGGGGTATAATAAAAACTACTATTACTACCATTCTCCCATTCCTTACTAACCAAAGGTGAGTAAAGTCGATCATTGCTGAGGTGGATCTTGACGTGAGACTGTCTCAGTTCCCACAGGAGGCTTTTACAATGGGCACTCCGTTCGCCCGCTGATTCAATTTTCACATGAGATGGCCAGAAGAGTCATCATCCCCTCCAGCTAGTATCAGTATTACACTACCCGCTTTCAATAGTTTGTGAAGCCCCTGCTCAGACCATTGAGGGTTGCCTCTCTAGGAGTTGACCAGTGTTCTGAATCTGAAAAATCCTCCTACTAGCCCGCGTCATGTACGCTGCTGGAAAAGTCGCCGGAACTCCTGCGCATGCAGCAAATCGTTGAGGGCATTGGCGTCTCACAGCACGAATGCTTTGTCGCCAAGGACAGCATGCAAGTCTCCTAGACTTCACTCGCACTTCGAGTGTTGATTGCGTATGCTTACCCGGTTTCAGGAGAGTCATGTAGAACCCTCTGAAATATTCCATCAGGCCTACGGAAGGCTTCATCCACAATAGAATCCCCCAGCGGCCCGGGGCCGAGCTCCTCAGCCGACGCCCTCTTTGCCCTCAGGCTGCGAAGCCCTGGCCTTGAGCTGCCTGGAGCTCCTCATGTGGTTGGAACAAGGCTCCGACGATCTCTGCTTTGGCATTTGCCGGGGAGGAAGGGAGAGAGAGAGAGAGAGGGAGGGCAAGCGAGTGTGTGTGTGTGTGTGTGATTCTCTGAGAATGTTCGCATATTCCCGTCTCCTCAAGCATAAGCGGGAAAGTATGCCAGCACGACAATGACAATTAAGCAGGTATGCAGGTATTGATCTGTGGATGTACGCATGTCTGCATTTACGCAATTTACGCACGAATGTACGAGGTATGAAGAGTTTTCTGTGAACCACTGGGCAGGTAGAGTCTCTTGCGGGACTGTTGGCATAACTTTTGAACTTGCTTTAAGCATCCTGGCTAAAGAACTCTGTTTTAATTTGACCCCTCCCAGCAATGGCATCCCCCCAAAATCTAGCACTGGTAAGTATTTAGGCCCCTATATTTGGGGTGCTTGTGCATCGCATTTGAGAGCACGACGAGGCGTTGCAAGGCAAGTGCTCCTTCAGCATCCGCTGCTGCTTGAGCTCCATGTGCCTTTGCTAGTAGCATGGTAGACTTCGGGTGTTGGCTTTTCACTTCATGCCAGCAATGCGTAATGTAATGGTCTGAAACTCCAGCAATGACTTGCGGTTTAAGGGGCAAGTCTTTCAGTTCGTTGAGCATGCTATCCATCTTCTCCTGCCCAGGCTTCAAGTCAAGCCGTTAGGTTAAGACCCGGAGCTTGGCAGTGACTCCACAGCCCCGCAACCCTAGTGACAAGTCCGGACGTTTCACACAGATCGTCGCGTCTGAGCATTCCTGGGATCGTCCTGACATACACCCCGATCCCTTTTTTGAGCACGGACTGAGATTGTATGCCAGCAAGGGCAGCACCTGAGGCAGAGCCTTCCCGAGCCCAAACCTTAAGCTCTAAACTTCTAGACCCTGAACTCGAAACTTTATAGCTCAAGACAAGCCTGGGCCCTGAACCCCAAAGCTCGAAGCGAGAAGTCGCAGTCCCGCACGGCCGCGTCAAGGGAGCTCATGGACTTGGAGATAGTCTTCCAGTTGTCCTGGTTGGCATCGACCTCGGAGGAACCCTTGGTTTCGTGTTTAGGGTGTAGGGTTATGTAACGTATTAGGGTTAAGGGTTTAGGTCTGCGTAACTCATGAGGCTGTAGGGTTTGTGTTTTTGGTTTTGCCCCACCAGATCTTGGGGGAGAGAGAGAGAGAGCGAGAGAGACAGAGAGATATATGTGTGTATGTATGTATATATATATATATATACATACATATACATATACATATACATATACATATACATATACATATACATATACATATACATATACACATACACATACACATACACATACACATACAGATACAGATACAGATACAGATACAGATACATATACATATACATATACATATACATATACATATGTATTCATATATATATATATATATATATATATATGTAATACATACATACATACCTACCTATATATATATATATATATATATATATATTGAATATATGGCGAAAATTTGGGTGTCCTTTGGGCAGGATCCTCCTTCAATGTTCGATTCGTACATCAGGCCTGTTCAAGATCGCCAGAAAGGGATCTGCGAATATATTCTAAGTCAAGAGTAGCCTGAATAGCCCTTTATATCAATCATGGTACGACCCCAAACTGATGTCAGGACCATTGTTTCGACTCGCACACTCGCACAATCGCAGGCACGGCTTCTAAGGACTATTGTTTAAGGTTGTGTAAAGATATGTTGAACATCTGAGCTGGGCTAGATTATCCGGAACGGGAGGAAGGCTCGGCCCATCTGCTGTCCGGTACAAAGGAAGCTTGGGGGCACTTGGGTGTACCACCATAAGCTGTTGAGCATTCCCCAGCTTCAAAACCAAAACATACCACATCTGCATCCGATTGATGCACACAGCAGTCACAGCGGCCAGCACCCGAAGGTATCAACAGCACATCAGCCGGACTAGAAGATGCGAGCAATGACCACAGCTCCATGTCAGGTTCCTGCTACACCACAGCATGCCATGGCCTGTACACCATCCAAACCCTGCCAAGCTGCATAGCGTGACAAGTACTCCGTCTGCTCTGAGATGCGGAGGAACCTGTCCTGCCGCCGGTGATCGTAATAGTGACAATAGTATTTTTCATCATCATCATACTAACGCTAATAACTGTAGTAGTATTAATAGTGACTGGGTGTCGTCCGTCTGCATTACCAAATCATGCTTGGCAGCTATGAACCTTTCAAAGCGCGAGAAGAGCTTACCCAGTCTTCCAACGCAGCTTCCAACTGACTATAAATATGTATTGGCCCAAAGAGAGATCCGCAAATGCAAGCCCATGTTCATCAATTGTATCAATTGTGTAATTGTTCCTTGTGGGCTTTGAGGCTGAGCACTTCCGGGGATCCTGAATTTGACTGCAAAGTAAACCGGCTCAAGAATGGCAGTAGTGATCCCTGCAAAGCAAGGCCCGCCTGAGGCCGGACTCCCATGTCGGATCCCTCCAGAAACTTGGACCGGCCGATCGGTATCCACTTGGCCTCGAGGGCTTCGTCGGCTCCCACTTATGCACGACGAGGTCTGAGAGTTCTTTTCCCTCCTACTTAGCATGGACGACGCCCGCATGGCAGGGTAAGTTTGAAGAACAGTGGGAAGCGGCTTGATGGTTATGCCAGGTCTGAAGGTTTAGGAATCATCACTGGGCCTTGGCACGTTTTCGCTGCGTTACGAACTCTCACGGGGAATCCAATTTCGTGCTACAGTATTTGGTTTCTGCAATCACGGGCGTAGATGTGGGAAAGTGTTCTCGCTGTGCTTTGGTCTCACTTCTGGGCATGGCGGTTTGGCAAGGCATCTATCTCATTGCGAAGTCAAACTAGAGAGACGGCAATGCGAAAGCCTAGAGACCGCGCGATTGCAGACCTGGACAGTTCGCAGCAGCTGCTAATGCATCCTTGGGCCTACATGAATCCAGTACCTTGCGGCTGGAATACCAACCATGCCATGGTCTCACCCAGTGTGCCGCAGTTCCCTCTAATCAAAAGCTTATCTAATTTGTAGACAGCGTCCAGGCAGTGCTGGCCTAGTCTATTGACCATGTGGTGCTACGACAGTGGCACCAATTGGGAACGACTTATTGTCCGCCTGATGCCCTCTTTTGATGCAAGAGTGCATTCCGCTGTTACTGTGCTCACGGGGTGCTGTAGTCAGGAGGCTACGGTCGAGGGTGCATACAAGCAAGCTTTGCTTAAATCTAACCTCGGACCGGAACCCTGCGAAAAGAAGGCCACTTCACCTTGAGGCTTTGCTTCCTTTCGGCGCTCAGACTCGGACAATCCAGGCGAGGCATTTAGGGTTTAGGGTCTAGGAGTCTAGGAGAAGGTCTGACTGAAGTCACCAGGCCGAATCAGCATCACAAGACCCTTTGCCTTGCCAAACCACCCCACAAACGACCCAAGCTACCAGCAGAACAACGGCCACCTTGGGCCCGTCGAAACTCCTATCCAGCACTGAGTCAGAGACGACCCGAACCAAGACTTCAATCCACCCCAAATCCCCTCAAGCCACCGAGCTGCCGGGACTTTCTAGGATTCTAGTACAGCTAGCCAGGACGTCTCATCAGCATCCCAGGACCACCTAGAACCCAATATATGCCAAAATCGAAAGTGAATGACAAATGTACTTGGCTATCTCGGGAGATGGGCACCACTGCTGACTACTCAGCAGTCGTACATTCCGCGCTTGGCATGCGCAAACGTAAGGCTCCAGGATCAGACGTAGCTGGGGCATGAGACCGAAGTTTCAGAGGCAGCCCACTCCTACTGCAGCCACCAGTACCACGAACCATGGTACCATCACCGCCAAGTATCATGCACCCCGGATATAGTACTGCACTGAAAGCTCTAGACTTGGGTAGTTGTCGAAATAGGGGTTTTTGGGTACCCTAAATAATAGGTGCCGTATTATAATAGGGACCCAAAAAGGGACCATAATTTTGACAACGACTCATATAGTACTGCAGCGAAAGCTCTAGACTTGTGTGCAGCCCGAAAGCATCTCCGCGGTCCATCAAGGAGCGGATGTAGTGCTCTGGGCCAGTCAGCTCCTGACTGGAAGGCAGCCAGAAATCAGAAATCTCGGAACTCGAAACCAGCAGGATTGCAGATCTCTGTGCCCGACGTCACGTAAACATGCACCCGATAACTACCGTAATAAGGAGCTTCCACTCTTCTTGCTGCTATCGAATGCTTTATCCTTCTGAGACTATCGTGGCATGGATGTTGTTGCTGTCGTAGCCTATCGCTGGGTTCATTCTTGACCGCATTCTGGACCTGTACGCTTGCTTCTTAGGTTCTTGTGTGCTCAAAAAATTGTGCAAAGGGGTCGGGACTTGAAATGCTGCACAGTGCCTGCGGCACAGTGCATTGCGGACGTCTTCGGTGGAATCTTGGGTGGGTCGCTGGGCGTCCGGGTTGACTGAGGAGCTTGCGGCCTTGGCCTTGGGCTTTTACAGGGAACTCCTGAAAGTTGGAATATGGTTTCATGGTAGGATACCCTATGATTTACCATAGAAGGGTTAGGATAATCATATTGCAACTTTCTGGCTTTTACCTTAAGAGGGGATAGGCCGGTAGGCTGCAAATTTTCCTAGCTCTGCGGCTGTGCGTTGTTTTCAGACCTGAGTGAGGTCCCATACGTAGAGTGGCTAAAGATACGTCAGCACTGCCTTATACCCTCAAGAATCCTCCAGAAGCTATCGTATTCCGCCGGTCTAAGTGAAATCCAGAACCCGCACACGCCCGCCTCCAGTTCCGTCTCGCAGAGGTGGAAGATAAATGCCATGTAGTCCTGTAGTCTACATTGCCAGACCTACATCTGCACTCCTGCATCATCCTGCTAGTAGCTATAACTGTGCAACCATCGTGAAAACGTGGCACTTCTCCGACACTGTGCGAGCCTTTGGCTCAGAGTCATGATGAGCATATACTTTCGTTCGAGCAATAGCAGCCAGGCAACCCACTTGTTCTGCCGGTGTGTCTCGTGGTAGTCGAAACCATCTGCGATACCTCACTTGCAATACTGTCGCAGTACGGGGAAATTCGTTCAGAACATGGCTGTGAAGGTTGACGCTGCAAACCCAGCAATGGACCGTCAGCTCGAAGACGATTCTCAGCATGCGACGTCTTCTTCAGCAGAGCATGGCATGTGCGAAATCCACCCACACACACACAAACACCTCTCTTTCTTTCCCCAGGCTAAACACAAAAACTTCTCTCTGTCTCTCTTTCTTTCTCTGTCTCTCTGCATCTCTTCGTCCCTTTCAGCCCCCAGACCCAGGCCAGTTCGTCACTCTCGGATCGCATGCCTCAAACTTCGCACGCCTTCACAACATACGAAAGCCCAAATTCCCATCCCGCATCCTGAAATGAAGACTAAGGATACGTCTACGATCTGCAGACACCCCTTAGCCGTGGCACCACGCATTTGAGCCACCTGCTCCACATTTCGCCTGTCGATGCCTGCATGCATGCATCATGCATGACTGCAGGACTCCATCGCGCAGTCAGACATCATAAGGGAAAAAGGAGGGACCCTTAATTAATAAGGACCCCTAGGTATATACCCTTAATATAGCTATTATATACCCATTATTGCGTCTACGCGGTCTTGTCATTGACTATTTTGGGAGCTCGGCCGCTGCGCATGCCTTTGTGCTGGTACCACAAGTAGTAGTAGTAGTAGTAGTAGTAGTAGTAGTAGTAGTAGTAGTAGTAGTAGTAGTAGTAGTAGTAGTAGTAGTAGTAGTAGTAATAGTAGTAGTAGTAGTAGTAGTAGTAGTAGTAGTAGTAGTAGTAGTAGTAGTAGTAGTGGTAGTAGTAGTAGTAGTGGTAGTGGTAGTGGTAGTGGTAGTGGTAGTGGTAGTGGTAGTGGTAGTGGTAGTGGTAGTCGTAGTCGTAGTCGTAGTGGTAGTGGTAGTGGTAGTGGTAGTGGTAGTGGTAGTGGGTGGGTGTAGAATGAGCCCAACACAGACCAAGCTAACCTGCCTCCCGACCCCCAGGACATCTCGGACCATGCGACCCACTAAGCCGCACCAGCAAGCCGTTAGCGACGGCCGAAATCCATCCCTACGCCAAAAACCCAATCAGCAATTGCGAGTCTGGTGGAAGGCTGACCAAGGGTTTTCGACTTACCAGGCAAGGACTCAGGCGACGAGGGCTACTGGGGCATGAACGCATCCTACTCTCACAGCTCAGAGAAGGCACAGGAGATGAAGGTTTGCGTCCGCTGGTCGTTCTCCCGCGCTTCCATGTCCAAGCCTGGTGGCATTTGGGTTTTATGCCTGCCACTCGCACCGCTCGGCTTTCTGTGTGCAAGGGCTGGCAGCAAGCTCCCAGCTTAAGAAAGACAGGGCATTGAACTCTACACACCCTCGGGTTGATCTGGAGCTTCAATCCTATGCTTTTACACAGAACACTGACATGAATGGCAGGATTGCTGTCTCCCGCAAGCATTCAACATGCAATAAGCCAACTGATGCAATGCTGCTACTACTGCTATACTACTTACCACAACTGCTACTACATTCTGCTACTACATTCTGCTGCTACTACTACTGCTGCTGCTGCTGCTCCTCCTCCTCCTCCTCCTCCTCCTACTACTACTACTACTACTACTACTACTACTACTACTACTACTACTTCCTCTTTGTCCACTCCTGCCGACAATTCAATATGAGTTCACACCGATAAGATCTGGATGACACGAACCGGCAGCCTAAGATTCCGTACTGAGGACGTGACGGACCTTACGTGTGCGCTTCTTTTTACATATACAAGGAAGTCCAGGATTCACTGCTTGGGATTTTCCTGAAAAACCTCAGAATCTTGCAGGGAACCGGTGTCCTTAGATTCCTCAAAGGAGATATGGTATAGCGGTCTGAATCAATAATAGTTGAAACAGGGTTTGGGGTATAGCAAGCTCTACTATACGGGCTACATATTTTCCCGACCCCTGTAGCCGGGACTGAGGATCAGTGTCGTTCGGGGTTGGACAAGAACGAAGAAGCGAGCCCTGCATACTGTTGTGAATCCGTGTCCTTGCTGGCAGTAATTCCGGGAATCAAAATTCTTGAGGTGAAACTTATTGGTTCATGTAGCGATGCTGGTGAATCCTGCCACTGGTCTGCTACAATCCCAAGACTCCCTGATGAGCCCGTCTCCGTATCTGAATCGAAGTCCCGGGGGCGAAGGGCACCAAAGGAGTCCACGATCAGACCCACCTGCAGACCATCGGTTGGCACATGCATTTCTTCGGTTTGGGTATGATTGAGCATTAGGCCGATAGAGCCTGCGGCCGAATTCGCACTTGCAAGCCTTGCTACACCTGTCGCCGTGCCTGCAGCTTGACCCCTCGCGCTCAGTTTCAGAACCTCGCACTCGGCCTTTGCATCCAAGGTACGATGGTATTTAGCACGATGACACCGAAAATGATGAAGTAGCTCATGTCCTGGGCGCGTCGGCATGATGAGCACCCCAGATAGTTGCCGGCAATATTCTTGCGAAGCGGAACCCGAAGCTCCTAAATGTCCCAGCCCTAGCAAAGCTACAGATGTCCGCGTCTGTCAAATCCTGAAGGTGTGGTCTATGGACCTTAATAATTACCTAGACTTTTTGGGGTTTTGTATTATCACTATAGTATATTATAGTATAACACACCCAAACGCTATTCTAATTATTCAGGCCACTATATGTCTGAAGCGACTGGGCCCTCTTAGTAAGCTCACCAAGTAGAGGAGAAATTGATGGCTGCAGTCTGGCGAAGACCATAATATAGGGGCCTTAATAATTAGAATAGGGTTTTGGGGTATATAATACTATTGTAGTGATAATTCGGAGCCCCAAAATAATATAGGTAATTCTTTCGGCCCCTTTTGTACTGTGCAAAGGCCACCGTCACTGATGGCGGCAACTCTCAAATCATCTACAACAGTTTGCCGGCAAGGCAAGGGTCGGCCATAAAATCATCGACAGCAACATCAACCAATGTAAGACTGAACAGCTGTCTCATGGTTATGGTTGCACTCTCGGACTAGCCAGGCACAGAACATGTGTCAGGGTCGGGATAGCACTCAAGCTGATGAATATGAGGTGCAAAGATGCACTATGCAGGCCTTTCTTGTGTACAAGAGGTGTATAGGAACGCATCCATGTATGATTGAAAAGACGGATAAAAGAAACAGTTGTAGCTATACCTACACACGCACAAACGCAAACAATTTCTTCTTAATCGGCAAATCACTCTGGAATCAAGGGTCTTGGACGGTGCATCACTGACTCACTCACTCATGCACCCTCACTCACACTCTCACTCTCACTCTCTCTCTCTCTCTCTCTCTCTCTCTCTCTCTCTCTCCCCCTGTCTCTTTCTGCTGCAGGTTTACCTTCCGACCTTCCATGAACAGCAGAAGCTTAAGCCCCGGGCGTACATCATCCGCTCCGTCCAATCGGGGCTTCCAGGTTTTGTGGAGCTCAGCATCAGGCTGAGGCCTACCTTCAACGGAAGGATCGGCTTCAAGGGGCTTATGATCTTTTCCTTCCTTTTTTTGCAGGGTAGTCTGAGGAACAGAGGACTACAGCCATTGATTCAAAGCCAATTATCTTGGCTTATGATTTAAGGTTTGGGGTTCAGCTGATGACTGTGAGGAGTCTGGGATCGAAGAGCTGAGAGTTGCAGATTTCGGAAAGAGTTGTCGGGTCCTGTGTGTTGCCTTCAATCTCTTTGCGTATTGCCTGGTGGTATGGCACCTTTGCCACTGGATCTCTTGATCTGGCCTAGCATTCCCACTCCCAAGGGGTCGTATTGACCATACCCAAAACACACCAACTTCATGTTCAAGTCGTCTCAACTCCGATGCGTGATCGACACTTCCGAGCCCCTGCCAAACCCTAGATTCCGAGCAATCGGCGGCACTGTCAGAGGCCCTAAACTCCCCATGGACAAGTGGCAATTCCGGCACGTGTACCCTGGTACAAGATGTTCCTCAGCTCCATGCAACTCCAGACGGCACATAAAAAGATGCGAAAAATAAATCCAGGTCGCCATAGTAGGGAAGGCCCCCAAACCCGCTTTAGGATTCTATCAATCCCGCACAGGTATGTAGCCACAAACTGCTGTCCGTATTCCTCGCAACAGGTTGAGATTAGCAAGGGTCCGTTGCCCAACGGAGACCATGCCTGACGCAAACCCAGGGACCCGACTCTCAGATCATACTCCCCGCTCAACTCTCAGCGCCCTCCACTGCACATCAGGTGTCTCTGTGCAAGTGACGATGTTCTCGTCGCAGAAATGGTGAAAGTCATCCCGGAAGAATCCTTCAGGCATTCTGGATTGCCAGGCTAGACTCGGCTAGACTCCATTTGGCTTGCGCATGTCATGACTCGACAGGTTTGTACCTTTGGGGGTTGGGAGTGCGAAAACTTGCGTGCCTTTCACATCGTCAAACCACGAGTCCTGACTTGACAGCATGATGCTTTTGGACACCCCCACGTAAGCCCTTAGCGTCATTGAGGGGGGAAATGATGGCCCGTGAGGCGCTGAAACGGCGCGGTAGTTTTGCGTGGGACAGTTTCCCAGAGCCTCCAAAACCCCTTAATTAAGGAATATACCTTAAATTATAATAGGATCCCTAATATGATTTAAGGTATATTCCTTAATTAAGGGGTTTTGGAGGCTCTGGGTTCGGGCTGAGCTGTACCCAGAAGCTGGTTACACAGGTTTCCTTGGGGTGGGTCTCAATAATCAGGGTGTTCAAATAGGGTTCGGAACTGAAGGCCTAAGGGCAACAAGATCGTTCGCTGCCGGGGCTTCGCTCTCATACTTCTAATGACTCCCGTCGTGGGGTTTTCTCCACCTCACCTTGAAGCTTCCCGGCAAGCTTGGTGCATCCAATCCAGACTTTAACAACCCTAAACCCTAACAAGCACACGTTTGAGTTCAGAACCCCACGGGGGGATTCTGCCAAGTCGCTGAAGCCGATGCCGGCGTAGACAAAGGTGATGATCACCAGACTTGGTGGGTTCGATTCGGGCAGTCTTCTTCCCTTTGCCTTCCGAGTCTTTGAAGCTATGGGGACCACGGCCTACCTCCGACATTCTGCGGTTATGCAAGGGCCTTAATGAAGAATAGTGTGGGGTGGGGTGACTATACCATGACATTATCCAAGCATCATCTTCGACTACACGGGACAAACACCACTACTTAACTTATTCCGCTGTAATAGTTGGATGTAGACCTGAAAAGCAGCTAAGACTGCGGAGCTTTAATGCGCTACGCTCCCGAAACTGCTTGATGTCTTGCTTGATAAATCCGGAAGGGGGTTCGGCTCAGGTTTGATAGGCATGTCGTGTGCTCCTACTTCATGCACGGACCCGTAAACTCTCCAGAGCAACATATGAGGATGAAACTGCGTTGTCTGGGTGGAAGCCAGGTCCAGGTATGACTTAGAAGCTGCCCCCACCCTGTAATAGTGAGTATAAGGATTATACTAGGGCCCTATTATATTCCTATTATACCACTATTACAGGGTGGGGGCCCCTTTTAAGGTATAACTGTGGGCAGACGTTTCATGGGACTCTCCTGGCAACAGGGCCAACATTGATTTGCCGCCCAATAATTTGACAACTCAAAAATCCAAAGATGACTTTCATAGTTGCTGTGCAGGGTGCCCCAGAAAGGTCATCGCCAGGGATCGCAGTGGGGCACAAATTGCTCGGAAGACCTCGCCGACAAACAGTTTGGCTTCCTGTCTGGTTCATGGGCGACCTCTATCGCGCAGCTCGAAACAAAAGGTCTGAGAATAAGCCCCAAAAAGGCAAAAACCTTTGGACACCGGGCTGTCTCCCAAAGAACCAGGCTTCGGAAGTGACCGGGCACTCGGCTGTGGCCTCGGTCGACATCTGAAACTCGAACCCTAAACCCCAAACTTACCCCTTGAAGCCCCCACTTCTGAAGCCTTAATATAGGGGCCTTAATAATTCCCAAGCCCACACTTTCGGCCAGGAACCGTCGCGAGAACGGAGCTCTGACACCAGAAGTCCATAAGGATGAAGCAGAGAAGCCAGAAATGCCTCGAGAGGACTACGGCGGCTACGGGGGTTTTAGGGTTTAGGGCGGAAACCCATTCATGAACGAGGTCTCTCTGAAGTGCCTCCATGAGCCCCTAAACCCTAAACCCTTATTGCTTAGCTTCGCCTGCTTTTCACATGCACTGAGCTCTTCGCCTGTTCCCGACAGAAGCCTAGAACCCAGTGGCAGAACTTTAAGCAACCAGACCCCAAACTCTACAAGCCCTCATTGCACAACACACGCACATCAGCTTTCGGTAGGTCCTTAGACACAGCATCGCATTCCCCCCTTCAGACCCGTTTTTTGTTGAACATTCGCATTGCTTGGTTCGGTTGTGTTCTGTGGTGTGACGTGGTTTCGTGGTTTCGCTTGGTGTAATTGTCTTCCTTTGCCGGTGTTTGGCTGATTGACTTTAACTGTCGGTGAAGCAGTTTCTGTTGTAACTCTGGATGCGGCACACTAACGATTCCAAACCCAGCGCGAGATTCCAAGATGTTGCTCAGATCTTCTTGACTGAAGACTTCAGTCCTCCCAAACAGCCCGCTTGGAATCTCCCAACACGACACACCTTAGTCGAGGTGCTTCCCACCGTGAAGCAGGGTGATTAGTTGAATAGGTTTGCTTTCTGTTGAGTTTGATAATGGGAGATGGCTCAAACGTGGAGAAAATGTTATCTTCGGGCTGGTATAATGCTCATCCTGCGGCATCTACGGAAAGCTTGGAACGCAATGTAAGTGACTGGACCAAGCTGGCCAAACATAGCTTTTTTTAGCAAATGTGATCCAAGCCACAAATCCTGAGTGGCTAAACGCAGCGTTTTGCTCCGGTTAAGATGCGAAGACAAACTAGACAGTCCGAACTACCTCCAGTTTTCGCAGACACGCCATTCAACCAAGCGGTTGCTTGAATTACATGTTTATCTTGTACCCATTCCGGTAGTCAAGAACGCCAATCATGCAGCGAGATCTGGAGCACTCTGCGGTTCGGCTACTTCGGCATATTGAGATGTCTCTACACATCGAGAAGCATGTCCTGCTGTCATTTAGCAAACATCATCTGCGTGTCCTGTCACCTGTGAACCTGAGAACCATCACGTGTAAAGGCGTAACTATGTTGATCAACTTCTGACCGCCGTGACTAGGACTGAGAGGCGCTTTCAAATTCTTGGCCTGATGCTACCCCCAGATCGAAAGCTATTTTGGCGTTATAAACACCACATATTTCATACTGGTATTTATCTATCTAGCTAGCTTAGCTGTACATGTATGTATTTATACATACAAATACATGCAGCCACACCAAGCTGGGTAGCCATGGTAGGAATACATACGGGAGCAGCGCAAGCTCCTGGTTGGCCCTTCTACCGCTTGACTTCGCATCGTAATATATATATATATATATATATAGATAGATCGATAGATAGATAGATAGATATAGATGGCGCGGTTTCGTGATCGCGATCGCTCTACGGCCAAATTCAAGTAGGTCCGAAGTGACATGCCCCAAAACCACATAGCAACTCTGTCTTGCCCTCTTGCGCTAAGCTTGAACTTCCGTGACTCAGAGAAACGGAGCACCGCCCAAAGTGCAGCCCAAGATACCGCAAGAGGAAGGCGAAAACGCAGCAGGTCAGCAGCAAAAACCTGCGCCGTCTGTTTTCAGGAACCCGTCGAACGCAAACCACCTTTCGACTCCCACTGTCTTTAGAACTGCACGTTTCCTCGCCGTATATCCGTGTTCAACACCAGAAGCTGACGGCAAATCAAACCCATCAACCTCCGACGTGACATCCCCACTTGAGTCCAAACCCCCGCCGACTTCATTGTGGGAATGCTAACCAAATCGGGAACTTGTAGTCGCCACCCTTTCCAGATGCCGGTACCTCCACGCTACGTGGCCTTCCGACAGCAACTTCCACAGCCTCAGTTGCAATGACAGAGGTCTGGAAGGTCTTTGCCCACTTGGCTTGCTTCATGTTCTAAAGCAGCCTTCGGCGCCCCAGTATTGATGAGCCTTCACAGGATTTTACTGCCATGTTCATGTTGCTACCTGTTGATGGAATCACGAGCCGCGTGCCGCACGGATAATACTCTTGCTCTTGGCATCCACGTGGCGCCCAGAGGGTTTGCACAAAGCCGGGAATGTGAAAGTGATGCTTCGCCACATCCTCGGCTGTCATGGCTCCACCCCGGGAAATGCAGAAACATGATACACATGCAGAGCAGGAGCAGCAGCAGCGGTGAATTGGATTATAGGGTAGCCCCTCATTCATCATGGGTACTAGGACTCGTGGTAGTATCCGCAGCAGTACTCGAAGCAATACAGAAGTGGTTGGAAGAGCGAGGTTCATGATCATGTCAGGAGAAGGCACAGGCATGGGAAGCCGTTCGGCAGAACAGAAAGGCAAACAGCATCAAACAGGATGGGCACGATATTCTCCAATGGCTTTGGGCCCAGGGTGCCTGATTTGATGGGGCTCTCTATGACGAACGATTGCGCCCGTCTGTTGTCTTGCCAGCCCGTGAACCCCTTAATCTGCACATGAAGTTGTTTACATCATAAGACAACACCTCCCCGGCACCCAGAATGCTCAAAGCCGAATTCTCAGGATCCTGTTTACCTTCAAGTCCGACATTCGGAAATCACATAGATAAACCGAGGAACGGCATGCACTTCGTGTAGTGCGATGGGAAACCTGGACACAGACCGGTCGAGCGTGCATGGGTCGCCGATGTGGGTTTGCGGCTGAAGGCTTAGGGTCTTCGGATTCGGTCGTCCCGGTATCTTCTTTTCATCTGACGCACCTGGGGGTTGTTCGGAGTTTGATGACACTTCGCAGGTCGCCTGTATTCTTGTGCTGCCTCATTGGAGCAAGCGGAACCTCAAGTTGCATAGCAAGACAAATATTGCACCATGAGCAGTAAGAACACGATTCGGCAGCCCTGACCAAATAGCATAGGACCTAGGAAATACAGAAGCAGCATAACCCGAGACTTTGCCAGTCCTTATGGCAAAGCACAGAAGTAGCGACAAAGCAGCAGATCTATAAGACAGTCTCAAGCCCGACACCCTCTCAGTATCATATCCTCTGTCCGAAGTAGTTTTTGGAGAACCTGATCGAAAAGTTAATCTGGGAGACCCTGATAGAAGCCAATCCACCAAGCGCTATCCACCAATCCTGGCCAACTTCCTTGTGCCAAAGGGCTTGATCGCAATTGTCAGCAGCAGCCACGTGGCCGTGCACAGGAAGTAGAGCCCGCCTAGAACGAAGCAGACGCTTGGTTGGACCGGGGCGCTCCCTTACAAGTTGACGTACGGCACGAGCATGACCAAACTAAACGCGGCTGCTACGCCTTACAACATCCAAGAGAAAGTCGACGGTCTCTCGACATGAGAAGCTCATGCAGCTCCGTCCCGAAGCTTAGTACTTGGGTTCCCCTTCAGTTTCAACAGGACTTGAGAAATATCCATTTGCTGATGCTGAGCTTTCACTCATCCAAATATCCACCGGACGAAAGAAGGTGCTTAACGTAGGGACCTCAGTAATTAGAATAGGGTTTTGGGGCCCGTTATACTATAATCATAATAAGCAACCCCCACAATAGTATTGGCAATTCCTAAAGCCCTTATACTAGAGGCTGTCAATAGAGAGGATCGGAAAACTCGAAGACTCATTTGGTGCGGGGCCCTGAATGTTAACAGGGTGGTCGCTTAGAATGATTGGGCGAGGATCCACGACCCTGAACCCTAAACGCCCTCTTTCTCTCTGTCTCTCTCTCCCAGGCACTCGAAACGTCAAGCACTGCACTAAACCCTAAACCCTAAGCTCCTAAACCTGCAAAAGACTCCACTGGATTCCAGCCCTGCGGCCCAGAGTGAAGGCAACGATTGCTGCGCGAGGAGAAATCCACTGAGAGTCCGCATCCTGAATCTGGGTTCTTGTTAAGGGATCTACTTTAAGCTACAATAATAGGGATCAATAGTAAATAATCATAAAAAAGCTTTTGGGGTCTGGTAATCCTTATTATGCCAACTTCAAGAACCCAGGAATGCACAATACCAAGCAAAACCAGGTAAGGACACCGATGGCAACCTTACGTGGACATGTCTGCAACGGGCTTTCTGCGACATTGCTGCAAGAAAACCTGACTGTCAGGGGCACAAGCTGCTTCTAGACAGAATTCTCAGCCTTAACGCCTGGCCATCCTGTATCGATCGTTGTGGAAGCGGTCGGATGTCATGGTTTCAAAGGGGACGCACGCTATGGATTAGCGCTCTCAGACTCCAGCATTCTCAACCCGCATGGTCCACAGTTTTTGAATAAACCTCACATCCCCACATCTCCGCTGTGTCCCTTCGATACTCAGAGAAAACCCAAGAATCCAGCTTCAAAAACCTGCACCCGGAACTCCTAAACCTGCAAGTTTTCGTCCTCCGACTCTTCCGCGGGAACCAGGAACCTCAGCACATCGGAAGGACGACAAGAGTGTCAAAGGCCATGTAAGTAAGGCTGACATCTGAGAGAGTTTGATGAGTCCAGGCCTCGTGAGAGCTCAGTGAATTTAGTGGCTCATGCCTGTGCACTAAACTACCAGGATGGTGTTGTAGGTTTGTGGGCCAAGCTTCCGCACGTGAAGCAGAAAGACTACTCCGACCACGTTTAGGACGTCCGTCACCAAGCAAGCCACACTTGGTTCATAGCCCCGGCTTACAAAACGATGTGACGTACCGGAACACTTTTCGAAACCTGTCACATTGCACAGGCATCCAGGAGCGGGAAATCAAGCAAGACAGCAGACACAAACTCAAGCCTAGAATCAGGAATGGATTTCAATGCAAGCGGTTAAGCCTTCATCAGACAGGAGCTGGAGCCGAGAATCAGGAACGGTGTTTTAAAGTCCAAGTTTTCTTGACCACCGTCCTGCCTCCCTTGCCCTCCCCCCACTCTTCCCCTAAAGGCCAAGGGAACATGCCCGTGTGCGCAGCCAGGACCAAGCCCAAATACAGAGCTGCACGAAGAAGGCGCGTCATGTTCCTGTGCTTGGATTTTGGTACTCGGTTTTGGGCTCTGGTCTTCGTCTGAGAGTTTCTGGCGCTGAAGGTTCGAAGTGCAGGCCTCACGTGAAACTGTGGAACCAGAAATGAAGGGCTGAATGGCTTGTTATTGTTGCTTGGCTTCATGGCTGGCTGTTCCAAACTTTGCGGGTGGAGACTGGAGGTGCCAGCAGGAAACAAAGCGGCAAGGATTCAAAGATGAACTTGAGCTGCGGCTTGGGGTTGGGACTCGAGGGCACGATTCGGCAAGTTCACTACCCAACGTGAAAAACGTCGGGCGGTGTATCAAGGGCCCACCGAGCTTCTTGGCATCGTCACAGAGGAAGATCTGGAACCTTGGCTCCCCGCCCATTGCAGGCCTTCTGAAACTCTTCCACCAAAAAGGGTGTGTTCTAGCTGTTACTCGCGAGCCGCTATTTACTGCGATTTGGCTTGAAGATGCTTTGGGGACTAAAGAATCATGCAGCTACAGAGCTGAATAGCACGAAACAAAGCACCATCATACTCCTCAGAGACATCTACCTGGCATGTTCTGTGGACACAGATTTTTACTGGCTGTCGGCTGGCATGCACCTGACTGCACGTCCTCTAGTAATGCAACCCACCGGAGAATACAACCAGCTCGCACCTGTTGCTGTGGCATGTTGGCTTAGAGCTGCCTTGAAGAACGGGCTGTCCTGCACTGGAACTTCGTCCAAGACATGTCCACCTCTGGTATGCTGAGAAGCGGTCGGTGCATCCAGTCAGGGATGTTCCTCTGCGCCACCTTCAACAAACCTCGGGCAAACACAGTCTGAAGCAACTCTGCATGGCAGTTCAAGACAACGACAGTGACCAACGAGACCAAGAACAAGAACAAGATCCGAAAAACAACAAGAAAAGCAACAGCAGCAACAGCAACAGCAAGAACAGCCACAGCACCAGCAGCCCACAAAGAAGATCACGAAGATGAACATGAACGCAAACATTATGATTATGCCGGTGCAACACACCGGCCGTAGAAGCCCTGCACGAGGTGGAATTCAAGACTATGAGGCGACACAGCAATAGTGATGCCGAGGAGCGCTCTGGCACGACGGAGAAGCCTTAACTGTTCTTGAGGTCTGTAGCACTGAGCTTACATGGGGCCGTAAGGCTGTCCGTCCAGGGCAATGCAAGTACTTGTATGCTACCACCCTACCAACCCCGCACTGTGGATCTGACTCTGATTGTTGAGCTCGCCTGCCAGCCGTCTGTGTGATCTGCTGCGACAACACAGTCACAATGCGACGCAGGCACACGCCCTTATCACCAAAATCATGAGCTTAGTTTGGTCTTAGCGCGTGGGAACCCAACAGTGTGCCTAGCACGTGTAAAGCACTTGAGCAGCAGCGTATTGGACTGCTCGTTAGGGCTTGGGAACGAAAGGATAACTCTAGCAGCCTGTGCATGTGTCGGCAGGCCAAGCAGTCCAACAACCATAAGTTGAATAAGAAGTCAAAACTCAGTCCTTAACCTTCTACAGTCAGTATGCAGCTCATAGCACTCCTTGGCCCCAAATTATTGGCAGCCCCGCTGCGGGACAAGTCTTTGATCAGCTTCGACTCCCGGTGGAGATCAATGCCTGGAGTCAACACCAATGCGACATCATACGGTTGAGGAGGAAAGACGTGCCACCACCACCGACACGAAGTGTGTCAATGTGTGATGCTGACGTCGTTTACCGCAACGTCCGAACTCTACACTCCAGGGAGATGAAAATCTGCGCTGCCAGTTTGTTTGGGCTTCGTTTCAAGACTTACGCGATCTTGCTTCGACGACTGAGAATTTTCAAAGCGATATCTTGTAAATGCCAAAATTCTGCATTCCTACGGGGCCAAGCCCAATCTCAGCACAAGACCGGCGGCATCCATGCAACACCAGTAATGACGAAGAGCCCTGGTAATAATTGTGAGTCCCTGGGGGTGAAGCTTCATAAACGAGCCCTGAGAATCACACGAAGATGGCAAACATTCACGCTGAATATGCCCATCGTTTTAGTCCTGACCCTGGTGAAGGCTCTGCCGGGAACGGGGTCACGACAGGGATGCTGCTAGTGACTGCTAGTGCCGAGGGTACGAATGATGAGGAAATTGATGGTTTTGCTCACGTCAGCCGTGATGGACCACATAATTTCGACAGTGATCGAGACAGGAGTGGTGAAAGTGGGGTAGGACTGTGACGTGGACAGTGTTGCAGCCAAGGAACACATTCGAATGAAGTATCGGGCCTTGATGTCAGGAGAGCTGAACGGAACCGTGTCCTGTGGGGGCGAGGGGGCTTAGAGGCGTCCTGGGATCTCATCCTGAACTCATTAAACTGCAGCTTCTACTGCATGCTACCCTGAGAGTCACGGAAGATAAAGCTGCGGAAGCCCGCGTGGCGTAGCCCTACGACCTGTGCTGACAACATCCTGACTACCTCTCATGTTGACAGGTCAAGAAGAAGGACCCAGCAGATTTGTATAGATTTGTCGGCTATCGGATGAGCTCTTGGGTTGACAGGGGCTCGATGAGTTCGCACCTTCGCCCATCATCTTTCCTGGTCTTAGAATCTTCAAATGAATCTTGGGTAAAGGATTTGACCATTGTTATGGTGCTATGAGACTTGCTTTCCTCGAGCCCACTCCTGGGACGTTAAGGACAAACTAAGAACGCAAGATAGACTGGTGAGCTAGCAGGTCAAGGGCCCTTGGCTTCCAGAGCACAGGGTCTGTCTGCCCACATGTGTGCTGTACCTAGCGGAAACCGGAGTCCAGAATGTTTTGTTTCGCTTCGCCGTAGACATACCACATGGCAGTCACAGGGAGGCAGAAGTGCAAGTAGTGCAAATTGCCTGGGAATCTAAGCATGGGTGTCCCGGGTCTGGATGCCGATGCGAAGACTTTGTGGCATTAATTTCTCGACATATTTAGCCAGCAAGGCAAGACCCGTGTGAAGAGGTAGCTCGGGGAGTCAACTCACGGGGCCAGCATCCGATCAACTTGGTCTCCAGCCTCAACTTTAACTAGCCGTTTTGAATTTGATAGCTGCATCTTTCCGTCTGAATCCAAAGCAGACGGAAAGGTGCAGCTATCAAATATGTCGATGTCGCAAGTCCTACTCTGAACTGCACGCAGCAATGTGTTGAAGATGGTCATGCGACAGAAGAGTAGGAGGGTCAGCCAAGCAGGAGAAACATCGACACTGCCGTTGTTAATGTCATTATGGTTAGTGGTCGCTTGCAGCAGTGCTAGCACACCAGCAGCAGCGGCAGGAGCAGAAGTAGTCTTTCTCGCCGTCGTTAGCAGTAGCAGCAGCAGCAGCACCAGCAGTGGTCGTCGCCTTGGTAGTGGTGGAGGTGGTGGCAGTGGTGGTGGTAGCTGGCAGTTGCTGCTGCCTCTCTTTGGTCTCGCTGTGTAATGCTTAGCTTCATGCGCGGTGAAAGGCCTTAGCCGTTGGATGCGAAAGACTGCAGGTCGTTGAGGCTTGTCCACATATGGTAGGGCTTCGGCTCAAATCGAAGCCATACGACTGCTGTTTTGACCTTAGCTCCTGACAAAACTCGAGCCCACGCCTGGGCTGCCGAACCACAGGAATTTGCAACCAAACCCAAAACCCTAACCCAAAAAAAACCCTAAACCAATGGATGCAGGGTGCCATCTGTCATGACCTCGATAGTCCGCACGAAGCGAGACAGGAAGGAGTAGGCCAGGCGATGCCTCGAAAGGCCACTGAAGCGTTTGAAGCTGGTCTCCAACACACCCGAGGACAACTGTCTTGAGCTTGAGGGCTCAGGGCGGCTTGAGATCAGTGACTACTGCCTTCACGCACCTCAGATCTTGAAGGCCACAGCCCGACAGTCTACAGTCCATCAAGTCTAGAACCTGAAACCTAATGTGGGGTCTGACTGTTTAGTAATTTTAAATCCTTGTGACCCCAACATAGTAGAAGGCGCTTACCATAACTAATAGTGTAGAACCTATATAGAATCTTCAAGACCTTCATGGGAACCTCATCCAGGTTATCACGGTTAGCTGAAACCCCGTATCATGATTAGTGATGTTTCTATTCTCATTCTTTACTGCTATTAGGGTGATTGAAATTGTTCTCGTTTTATGCTGATTGTTTATAGTTTTGCTCGTCGTGACAGATATTCTAGTTATCGTGAACAAGTGCTTTTGTTGTTCAGTTAACTGTCTTACTGCGCTGTTCTTCTTCATGTTATGATCATACTTATGAATGTGATTATCATTGAAACAAGTTGTATGATGATCACCGGCGCTATTGCTATACGGCTATACTCGACCGAGGTCGGCGAGAGGCTTGGCACGCATGTGGAACTTCTGCCTCTCCTCGCAGGCATTAGTCAGCTCTTCCAGGATCTCTGTTTAGGGGTTAATCAAAGTTTGAAAAAGTTTGCTGACTGCATTGCTGATCAAGGCACCAGTTACAAAAGCCCAAACGAATCTAATCCACTGGCCCTGGCAATACCGGGATCCTGCACAAAGTGCTTCTCCGAGAGATATTGCGTGACGTCGTCAACGAAGTCCTCCTCATCTTCCTGCGCCGCGGAGAATGCACTAATTCCTGTTCGGAGAAATCTTGGTAGTATGGATCCTGTTGATTAGTTTCGACTGTTACGAATTGAAATCTCTGTCAATCAAACCCAACTGAAAATGGAAAATGGCAGGAACTCTGTGTGCCTCTTCATGGCTGAATCGCACGCTAGTTTGAAAGCGCTGGTAGTCTCAGCATCCCACAGCTTATGCAACATTTAGCTCTTGGAGCTGTAAGCCTCCGGGGCTGAGTTTGCACAAAAAACACGCTTCGATTAGGAAACACTTTGCTGTCATAAGCAGGACACATTAGCCAGGGTTTAAGGTTGCAGTTTGGCCAGGTCTCCGGCCGCTTCTTGTCGAGCCGCTTTCGCTTCCGGGTCTCACCGCTGACATACTTGCAACCACTCATCGAAACAAGAATGCCGCCGGTGCACCAAACTCGCACAAAACCGGGTGACTGCAACTGCCTTCACTGGCTTCACGATTTTCTCGAATGTGCTGGAATAAGGTGAAATCTCCTTGGCTCGACAGCAGGTAGGGCTTATGATGGGAGAACAGCACCGAAGTCATGAACAGCTCCTCTGCAATGGACTTAACTTAACTGACAAAGTAATAAGAGTCGATGGAGCAAATTCACGTTGAGTGGTCTCGACAGTATTAGAACGAATAATATGTGCATGGCAACCTGCTCGAACCCGCAACCATCCTGCCACGATAACAAAGCCCACCTGAAAACCTGCACCGAAGCCAAAACTCGCCCACACTCTCAACGATCCGCAAAGACCTGAAGCCTCAGCTATCCGCTATCCTATAAGGCAACATCTCATACTGCGAGTTCCAGAAAAACTTGCTACCTGCTACAACGGACCAAGTCACCAGGACACAAACCCAACAACCGGCCCCAAACCTGCCCCCACAAGGCGAACCATCAAAGCCGGGCACCAGGATCAGCTGAACCATCTTTAAGCCTTCGCCTGGACAACTGCTGGACATCTTTTCCATTCTCATTCTCACTAGTGACTAGTGTAGCCAGCCAACCATCTACACACAATTCATCAGTTCATCTAACTTCCTGTGCGTAAGCGAAACTATCTACTTGTCCATCTAAGTTGCTATCTGACTAGCCTTACTTATCTACCGGTGCTTGCCTACCTGTGGCAGCCTCTCCCTCTCCCTCTCCCGCTCGCTCTCTTCTTCCGCCGGGCATGAGGGGCTGTTAAGACCCCTCGGCCACTAGGGCCCCCCCATGTTTTGTGGGGACTTTGGAGGAGTGTGAAAAGTTTCATGGTTGTTTCATCCCCCTGGCGGATCATTTGAATGTTAACATAAGTATTATTTTCAGGCGTTATTTATGATCCCCCAGGTATCTGGACTACATACCATCCACAGTTCTACTTGTTCGGTCTGGAGATCTCAACCTGTAACAAAGGACAATAAAAGAACGTAGTGAATACATCATCCCCCTCATTCGACCGGACACGCTCTCTCTCTCTCTCTCTCTCTCTCTCTCTTTCTCTCTCTTTTTGTCTCGCTCTCAGTCTCTCTTGCTCTCTCTCTGTTTCATGAGCGCGTGCCTATGGAGCTATGTACTCTCTTTCATGAGCGCGTGCCTATATGGAGCTACGTACGTACGCACGCAGGTATGCATGTATGCATACAGCAAGCATGCCTGGATGCATGCGTGGATGCTTACATGGATGCACGTACATACATACATGCATGCATGCATCTACAGCATACGTAGGCACAGTGAGACAGCTGGACAAACCCACGAATATTTAATACACATGGTGCGTGTGCTCATTGCAGAACCTCGCATGCCATCACTCCGGTCCAAGTCTTGCGTTGCGAGATGTCGTTGTCATGACATGTCAGGACCGAGCTGGACTCAACGAGTGTGGTATGGTTTCACTGAGAACGGCCATATCCAGGATGCTTCTCAACACTACAACGTCACTACACCCGGCCCGAATACAGAAATTCAACGCCGATTGATGAACCAGGGCTTGTAGCATTGTGAGCCTCCCAAACCGACAGATCAACACCGACCTTTTGCTTGAATAAGTCTGCGAGCCTGATGCTGATACAGAAAACGATTAGATTGTCGGGACGCTCCCGGCACGAAACCAACAGCCGAACCGACTTTTGACCACTGGCCAAAACCACTCGGAACCCTAAAAACCCTTAACCCCGTCGCTTGCCAGAGTGCTGAAGAAGTTCCGAATGTCTGCATCGGAAAGATCTTCCAACAGCTCCTTCAGGGCAGCGCACTCTAATTTAATATAGGGGCCTTAATAAATACTGTAACATTATAATACGGGACCCCCAAAATTGTATAGGTAGTCTTTGAGGCCTCTATATTACGTTGCTTGGATAAAGCCATGTCTTTGTCGTCAAAACTCCCACTGTGACAACGAGCCATCGCACCTACCTTGCAATGTGGAACATGCACACAGCGCAAAGGGAAGGGAGGCCCCTGCCAGTAGTTGCAGTATTGCTTCTTAAAGCTATCAGTATGACGAGTGATCCACCAGGCAGAGACTCGCACTACCGGAGGACTGCACGGCCAGCAGAAGTTCTGGCTCTCGGAGGAAGAACCCATCGCGGAACCAGTTTTCACTGTTTTTGATTCAACAATCCTCGGAACAACAAGCGACCCACCAACGACCCACAACACATGCCCACCCTCTTGGGCCGGATCGATTCTTATAAAACATCAAGGAGGCTGGGAGGTTTGGGGGGGAGGGATTACACTGGAAACTCCAAACACTTGAGACCCAGTCATTCCTACTCCACAAGCCTTGAACAATCTACCTCCCAACCACAAAGCTTTAAATCGGATTCTAGACTGGAAGCCCGTGAAGCATTCTCCTCCGTACGGACTTCGAAAGCGGACTTCGGTGCACAAGCAATTTTCTGTGCCCCGTTTGTCTTAAACAGCATTTTGGATTGAGAACCAAATTAACTCGCTACCCCACAGGCCTGAAGCCGGATTCTGGACGAGAGACCATCGAAATTCCCTGACCCCGAAGACTGTCGTGACGTGGGGGTTAAGCTCCTCTGCCTTTGTCACCACTTCGGCACATGGGTCTATCGAGGAGTGATCCCCGACCCGAAGGCTGTAAATCTGATGAATTATCCCATTGCCTAAGCCCTAAACCGAAAGCCTACTATAGAGGCCTTAATAATCAGAATAATTTTTCGGGGCCCAGTATACTGTACTTATAATAAGGAACCCCCAACATAGTATTGGC